CCTTTCATCTAGTACCTTTTTATTACCCCCTCTCAAAACAAACAAAACATTTTATTTTTAGGTGTATCAATCAAGTCTCCTTCTTCCCTTCTCAAATATTGCTAATGAGAATAATTGCCACTAGGACCACTTCCACTCCTCCATCGTCTTAAATTCTTCCACTTGCCACACTCTGCCTCCCCCACTCCACATCTGTCTGTGTCTTTCTTTTCTTTCTTTCTTCTTTCTTTCTTTCTTTCTTTCTTTCTTTCTTTCTTTCTTTCTTTCTTTCTTTCTTTCCTCTTCTCCTTTTCTTTCCTTTCTTTCTCTTTTTCTTCTAATGGTAACCTTTCTCATCTTTGAGACACAGCCCTATCTTTGATCTGAATTCCTCTAGAAGTTCCTTTTTCCCTCTATCGATTGTGTCTCCTGGAGTAATGTAACTAAATTGCAATTTTCCTTTGCAGGCTGGGTGTTCCTGAACCATGGGAGTGAGTTATGTGTGTTCGAGTGCTACATCTTCTGAATCTTGTTAAGCTTTGCCACATTCTAGCCCCACTGATGGAATATTTAATCTCTGAAATGAGTTGGCTGATATGATGTACAGTGTGGAGAAGCTCTGCACTGTGGATCTTACTGGCAATTGAGGATCAGAACGTTGCCATTTGTCAGTACCACCATGACAGCTCTGAATAACCTTCTGTTTCTTATTTATTTTGCTTCACTTATTATGAAGATTAAAGGTATATAGAATCAACAGTTTTGTTGGATAGATAACATCTGTCTGCATTTTCATTTTAAATGGTAAAGATTTTTTTGTATGTGTGTGCATGTGGGTGCTCATGTCTGTACACATAAATGTGTGTTTGTGTGTGTACCTGCAGAGGTAACAGCATAACTTCAAGAATTGTTACTCAGAAACTATCTACCTTGTTTTTGAGACTGGGGCATTGGGGATTGAGAAGTCTAGACTGACTGATTGTAAGGTCCCAGGAATCCATCTTTGTCTTTTTCACCAAGCAGAGATTATAGTCATATGCCAGAATGCTCACTTTTTATTTTGGGTTCTGGGAATTAAACTCAGGTCCTCATGCTTGTACCACCAAGCATTTTCCAGCCGAGTTATCTTCCCACAACTAAATATTTTATTAGAAAAGGCAAATAGGTTTCTCCATGGACAGGGGTGTGGTAAGAATTTTTTATGAGCCTGCTTTATTCTGATTCTTGGACATGCTTTTTCTAATTACATCTAGCAACTTGAGGCATACCAATGGGAGACGATACCCACAGATGTCCTATTTCTATTAGCACCCCAAATTTTATTTAAACGTTAAGATGTTGTGGCCATATATATTGGTCAAAATCTTCAAGACCTATCTGTTCCTTAATTGACTTATCAATCATTTGTCCTGAGAATAAACCTCATAGGGTCTGAAAATAATTAGAGTTGGAGAAATAATCAATATTGCTTAGCTTTATATGAAAACACCCACCTGTCTTTGGAGAAGATTTATAAATGTTCCTAGAATATGCAGATTTATGTATATTTGTTTTACCACACTTGGATTCAATAAGAATTTAAAAGAGTTCATAGTAAATATGACTGGGGGAGAAACCAGAAAAAGAAAAAAGCTACCTCCAAAATGAAAAACCTTTTAAAACAGCTTTTTAAATGCTTCCAGGATGTGTGTGCATGCAAATGTCATAATCTATCAAAGCAAATTAATACTGTTCAGCTAGTAATTAAAGGTCTTCATTAAGAAGTGTGCCCTCCCTCCCCACCCCCATCCAACATCAGCAATAAAAATGCACTGGGGGCATCAGAAGGTTCTATAGGAAAATCAATAACTTGCCATTTTATAATTAAAAGAGAAAATAAATGTTAGGGGAAAGTCCACTAAATTAGGAAAATTACCTTTAGGAGAGATTGAAAATATTGATTTTAATTTACAAAATCCATGAACTTTCCATGCCCCATTTTGAGAGACAATTGGAGGCTGGGAGGTTCGTTCTGTATAAGCTCAAGGAAAATCAATAATTATGCTATGGGAGTGTCATGAAATCTGTCATGAACACATCTTAGGCTGAGAAATGACTAATGAGTCTTGCTTCCCCCATTTAGACATACATAGGGATGACCTATGAAATATCCAAAGCAAGCTAATGGCAAGGTCTCCACCTCAGGTGTGAGGCACCCTCCAAAGTACAAGGGCAATCCGGACTAGCTTTGTAGCGTGGGAAGTTTAGGAAGCTTCGTAACTTCTTAGCCGTGAGTGCATATCTGGAAGGCACCCAGACTTCACATCTGTGTGGCGCTCTGCCAGCTGCTCTACTGCCCCAGACGCTTTGCTGTTGTTGTGTTTTTACAAAACAAGGTTTCTATTTGGAACACAATCTACCCTCAGACTCAGGGAAATTCTCCTGCTTCAGCTTCCCAAGTACTGTGATTCACACATGCACTGCCATGCTTTAAAAAACAAACAAACAAACTTTAATTTACTAAAAAAACAAATCTCATACATATCGTTGTTTTCTTTTTAGGTTTCTTCAACACTGTCCTCACACAGCCAGCTCATATTCCTAAATGTGGTGGTGGCGATGGAACAATACAGAATAATCAGGTAGCTTCTTTCAGTTTTCTAGTTTGGACTTAAAACAGTGGAATGAGCATAGTGCAGAGCCACACAGATATAGAATTAATATTTATAAAATATTAAGAAACCATGGTATCTACTTACAAAGAACTAAGGCCTCTAAGGTTGATCAAAACCTCATTGTGTCTCTCTGTGTGTGTATGTGTGTATAAAATCTCAAAGGAAGACATGTACCTTTTGCATGCCTTTGTGTCTCAATTTGCAAAATGCCACAAGGATTTAATAATATTTGTATGGATTATCCTTAGAACAGTACCAGACCACAGCAAATGCTGAGTACACATTTGCCTCTAAACTTCCTCCCTTTCCCTGTCCTGGAGACCTCTCTGTCAACACTGGCCTTGATATAGTTTCAACTAATATTTTGATGTTATTGAAGGAATGCAGATTCTTTTATACTTGCATATGTAAGTCAGTCTGACTCTGTCTTTTTGTTCTTCACCATCAACAGGCATGCACTGTGGGGCAGAATTCCAAATAAAGGCAATGGTTGACATTATCCTGGTGAGTTGAAGCAAGGATGAGCATTAGGAAGGAAAACTATACAGTGCTCTCCGATTACACTCACATCTATGCAAGCTCCCCAGGGAATACTTCCTGCTTCTTGCTCCTGTGTTCAGGGAGAAAACCTAAACACAGATACATATCACAAATGTTCACAGGTCTAGAGAACCTGCCACTGCCTTGGAACAGTTGCTGTAGATTCGTGGCTATCTCTTCAGGTATCAGATCTTCTCTGATATATGGGGAGATTTTGTATATTTGTAGCTTTGGACAAAAGAAGAACCAATACCTTCCAGGGTGCATCTTGCTCCTTAACAGATAACCATGCCCCTAAGCATAGACTTTACAGCCCAAGTAGATGCACTGATAATCTATAGGCAAGTCCTCTTCCAAGTTATGAAAATAGTCTGAGTCTGACGATGTGCCCAGGGCTCAGCAGGATAGGCTGATAGCATGCCCACCTCCTACCGTAGCATAAAGGTTGAATATCAATTTCCTCATTCTTATTTAACAAACATTTATATGGTGCTAACTATGTGGCCAAGGCTTCATGTGGCCCTTCCTTATATTCTAATAAAATCCTATGCACTTGATGCTTCCTTAATCCCCGTTTGGGAGATGAAGAAAATTGAGGCATGAAGAGGCTCAATGACTTGTCCAGAATAACACATCTGGCAAAAGGGGGAAGAAGGGTTGAATTTGGACTGTCTGGTTCAGCTTCCATTTTCCTTACTGTCCATGTGTCATCTTAGGAGGTAGTACAGTTGTTGAGAAGCCTTACAGTCAAGCATGTCCTCCCCTATAAGAGTGAACACAGGACATGTGCTGCGATCCCTAGACTTAATCTAAATTCACACCGGAAGAGGAATCAAAAACACTGTAGAGTTGAAATGCGAATTTCAGCTATTATACGGCCTTTTCCCAGCTTTATCCAAGGTTCCATTTTTAGTTTGGTTCCTTTGTAAGAGTAGCTAAGTTCAGTTCCTTTTACATCCTATAGGGATGATGCTTAGTGTCAGAAAAATGACAGGAGTTGGGCAACAGGAAAAAAATGAACCAAGATTTACCTGCAGCCCTAAGTGATTGGCTCAGATCAATTGTAAGTGCCTCAGAAGAACCATGCCATAGAAAGGTTTCTTTCCCACACCCATGAGGAAAGTCAGCTACTAGGTTACTAGGCTTTCAAGACAGCATTGGTGACAAGACCTCAGGAGCAGTGACAGGATAAGACACCATATCAAAACAAGGAATCTTAGCTGTGGAAGCTTCTAGCTCTGTCCCCTGATTTGTTCCATGAGTTGTCTACATCAGTGAATTTCCCTATTAAGGAGCAGCTGGTACTCAGTCAGGGAAAATGGGAGGAGAGAGATATATGCATATAGAAAAGTAGAGAGGAGTGAACTTACTAAGCCAAACTGATCCATGGAGAAAGACCTAAGTTATTTTTCCCTCCTAACTTTCACATAAGCTCTGTCTTGGAAACAATTCACACACAGCTGAAATGACCAACTCAACCCTCTGCTTTATTAGGAAAGAGAAAAGCAGCTCTGACAGAAATGCATAGCTCACAGGTATGTGGGGTGGCACTGCATGGGTACGAGCCTGCACTCATCTGTCCAGTGTGCTGCGGAGCAAAGCCCCATTGCTTTCCTAGGGCAAATCCACGTGAAAGATCACAAGGAACAGAGCCTTGTGCTTACCCCACTAGTGTGATTCTCGATTTCGCCCAAAGAAATCATTGAGGCCCTTTTAGGATGCGATTCTTGGTTTGGTTTGAGCTGCAAAACCCATGAATTAGGGACAGGCAAAGCACATTTAGAGAAGACCAAGCAACACATTGGCGTGCAAAGCAAAGTTCCTTACCTGCATAGAAGTCGGGGCTGTAGACCGCACCCACAACTGGATTTAATTTCCAGCCTTAAAATAAGCACAGAAGGATTACATCACATTTGAGTCAAGAACTTCTATCTTTCAGGTAACCACAGTGAAAACCAACCAAGATGGTGTGCCTTTTTCACATTTGAAAATGTCAAGTCTATGTAAGGGGAGCATGCACAGTGTCGCCTACAAACTCTGGAGTCTGTTTTTTGGTTTTCTGCTGGTGTGAGTGAACGGAATGGAAAACCACTGACCGGCTCCAGGTGAACCTCGGGAAAAAGACAGGATTCATTCTCAGCTGCACCAGCAAGTCAGTCCACTGTCATAAGTTCAATTTTTGTCTTATTTTATATAACATTGCTACATAATCCATCATGTGGTGCCTTGGGCTGAAGTCACAGATATGCAAAAGCTTGCATAAGCAGAACTCTCTGAGGAAACATACTGTGACCATTACTCCTCCTGATTATGACCTCTAGATAGCAGAGAATTCCAATTCTCTAGTGTGTGCTTTGTGAAGGACAGACGATGGTAGTTTATCCCCTACAGATCCGGTGTGGAATACATTCTGATGCATTTGGGAGGCATAAACACCTGAGTTGGTGCTAAATATCAAAGGTAACTTTCAAATCACCTGTCTATGACATTAACAGTGTTCTCTGGTTTTCTAAATGTTATTGGTGGGAAGATGCCTTAAATATGAACTCTGGTTTCTTAGAAATATTCTGTCAAAAAGAGAGTGCATAAGAAAAGCCATAAACTGGAAAGCACATTATGGACCTTTTGGATTTTTTTTATTCAACATAGGAATGAATGTGAATGCCTCAGAGCTTGTGATCAGCTCTAGTATTCTTAGTAAATCTCTGTGGAAATTAGAGCACCAGAGTTGCTTTTGAGACAAGGTCTTATGTAGCCTAGAAGTCGTATGTTCCCCAGGCTGGACTTGAACTCATTATGTAACTTAGGATGGCTTTGAAAGTGCGCTGTTTGTGCCTTCTTCCCTAGAATACCGCATTTGCTGGTTTATGCAGCGTCACAGGTTCTGACACGCTGGAGGTGAGATTTAGCGCTTCATGTTCACCAGGTAAGCGTTTTCTTACACATGACCCGCCCTGTGCACCCTCGTTTCTCAGACCAAGGGCTGAGTACCTTTCAATAAACAGACCTGAGAAATAGAAACGGCTAGTTTTTAAATGCTGCTGCGGTTTAGATGAAACGCGTTCCCTGTGGGCTTGTGTGTTTCAGCATCTGTTTTTCTACCAGGTGGTACTGCGTTAAGAGACTGAATAGCCTTTGGGAAGTTGGTCTAGCTAAAGGCAGGGGGATGCTAGTTCTTGGTCCTTAAGGTATATAAGCCATCTGCAACATGAAAGCCTGCTTGTCATCCTTAGGCCTCAATGACTGTGACGTATTTCTTCTTCTCTCTCTTTCTTTTAAACAAGGCTGCCCACATCCAGACAGAGGGCTTGACTACCTTTTCCAATCTTGTGCTTGCATTGGCTATCACCTTCAGCTCTCCCTTTTCCCCTGAAACTTGATTCGCATCTAGTCTTTCCCTTTAGCCAATAGCACTTTTAATAATCAGGTCACCCAAAATTTTGCTCAGTAGTTGCTACCTTATCTTCATCTCATATGAAATCCATTAAAAAATACTTCATTAAATTTGGGAGAGTGCTTTCCTTCTTTACAATCTATTTCTTTCCAGACAGGAGTCATATCAAAGCAAAGTGAAGCAATAGCAGTAATTAAAAACCACCCTTGGGGCTGGAGAGAGAGTTCTGTATATTGCTCTTGCAGAGTAATGAAACTCAGTTCCCAGCACCCATGTTAGCAGCTCACAGCCTCCTATATCTCCAGCTCTAAGGAGCTCTTAACCCTCTTCTGACCTCTACAAGCATCCGTACTCTCATGCACTTACCGACACACCCAAACTCACATGCACAACACACAAATGAATGCAACTCTCTCTCTCACACACACATTTAAAAACCAATAATGTTAAAAAGTTTAAATAAAAGACACCATTTATTCCTTCCTCTTCATTTATGAACAATGGCTAAAGAGTTACATACAAAACCAACTGTCTGCTCTGTTCCTCCTCAGAACTTCCTTCTAGACTTAGGATAAGCACAAAATTCCTGCCTTGGACTAGAAGACTGCACACTCTAACTAAAGCCCATTCACTTTGCACAACTGTCCCCATCTCTTCAAGAGCAGGTGTTGTTCTTTTTTTTATCTGAAAACCACCCAGGCTAATTGAACAATCCAGATATTTGCTGGCCTTGCTTGGAGAACTCCTCCCAACTCTTTCTGAAGTATCCACATATTTTCTGGATCTTCAATTCCTTTACAAAACATGATATCCAATGTCACTCTCCTGCTTGCTCTTATAGGTGGGTACTCACTGATTCATTTCCCAGTTACACTTTCTGCATTGCTGCTAACTCTCTAAATCTATTTTCTCTTTTCTTCCCCTTTCTTTCCTTCTTTTTATTCTTGTTTTCTCTATCATTCTGCCATATTAGAATTAAAGCCGGGCAAAGACATTGTGAAGCTTGAGACCTAGGCACTTAACAGCATTTGACAATTACTAAATATTCCATAATTATAGACTTGGTCTTAGTCTAAAGAAACAGAAAGCACAAAGAGCTTTCTATGAATGGTCTTCATTTCCTTCTGGCTAGGATTTGGTCTCCTTAGGCCCTCCAGATGACAAATGTTCTACATACAATGAAGGACCTGTTAAGGACTGCCATCTTCCAATGATGGCAACCAGAATTACCCTTGAAATTTTACCTTACACCCATCAGAATGGCTAAGATAAAAAAACTCAAGAGATAATGCATGCTGGAGAGGCTGTGGAGAAAGGGGAACCCTCCTTCATTGCTGGTGGGAATGTCAACTGGTACAACCGCTATGGAAATCAATCTGGCGCTTTCTCAGACAACTAGAAATAGTGCTACCTCAAGATCCAGCTATACAACTCCTAGGCATATATCCAAAAGATGTTCAAGTACACAACAAGGACATTTGCTCAACCATGTTTGTAGCAGTCTTGTTCGTAATAGCCAGAACCTGGAAACAACCCACATGTCCATCAATGGAGGAATGGATACAGAAATTGTGGTACTTCTACACAATGGAATACTACTCAGCAATTAAAAACAAGGAAATTATGAATTTTGCAGGCAAATGGTGGGATCTAGAAAAGATCATCCTGAGCGAGGTATCCCAGAAGCAGAAAGACATACATGGTATATACTCACTTATATAGACCTATAAGATAGGATAAACATACTAAAATATGTTCACCTAAAGAAAATAAACAAGAAAGAGGTCCAGGGGTAAGATGATCAATCCCCATCTAGAAGGACAAAGGGGATGGACACTGGAACTAGGAGAAAACAAGAAACAGGACAGTAGCCTACCACCGAAGGCACCTGAAAGACTCTACCTAGTAGTATATCAAAGCAGATGCTGCGACCCATAACCAAGCCTTCGGCAGAGTGTATGGAATCATACAAAGGAAGGAGGAATTAGTATATCCTAGAGGGGACAGGGAGCCCCACAAGGTCCAAATATATCTGAGCACAGGGGTCTTCTATATGACTGTTTATCCAATCAAGGACCATGCATGGATATAACCTACAACCCCTGCTCAGACATAGCCCATGGTAGCTCAGTATCCAAGTGGGTTCCCTAGTAAGGGGGACAGGAATTGTTTCTGACATGAACTCATGAACTTCCCCTCTCCCCTGATGGAGGAGCAGCCTGACTAGGCCACAGATAAGGACATTGTAACCATACTGAAGATACCTGATAAACTGGGGCCAGTCGGAAGGAGAGGAGGACACCCACTCTCAGTGGACTTGGAAAGGAGCAGGGAGGAGATGAGGGAGGGAGGAGAGGAATGGGAGGGAAAAAGGGAATGGGCTCCAGCTGGGATACAAGTGAATGTATAAAATTATTTAAAAATTAAAAAAAAAGAAAGTCACCTCTGTGCAGAATTGCTCAGACTCAAGACGTCAAGGAGACGTATGGAAATGCATGCAAATCACACACAAATGGACTTATCCTTTCTGTGGCTCCTTCTAGTACCTGGAAAAGACCCTTGGGATAACCTTGCTAGAAACACAAGCTTGTACTGTCAGGAAGACAGACAAAATAATGACAATTTTAATTTCTGAGACAGTTTGTATATGTCCCTAGGCTTCACAAACTCTGAGATTTTCATCAGGGACATTAAGCTGAACAATGAGGCTTACAAAACAGAGAGAAGCAGATAAAGCCTACTACTCCCAGCCCCCCAGGATTCCATCCAGCAATTCAGTGGAGCAAAGCCCAGGCAGGCACGTGCAGCTTTACCCCTCTGAGCTGGACCTTCGGGAGTTGCACCAAACCAGACTCCCTGCCTTTCTGAAATGTAGCTTGTCCAGGGTGATGTGCTAGCCTGCTTTAGAAAAACACCGGACAAGATCCCTGGTGTACAAGCCTTGCTATAATGAATGTAATAAACCTTAGAAAATAACCTGCATACATTCTAGACAGAGACTTCATAGATTAAATAGAGCAGGAGGCAATATCCAAATGATAAACACAACAGTTATTCATATACTGGGAACATGTGTTGTATCGTCATTTGAGCTGCTTTTTTGTTTGTTTGTTAGTTTAGCAACATGTATTTATAGCCAACATATAGATTTCACCTGATGTTTAGGATTTCTGGTTCTCGCAAAACACTGTAAGAAATGGAAACTTTATGCTAGGAATCCCTTCACATAGCTTTATTATAGGTAACCAGAGGCTAAGATCTATGACAACCTAGACAATAACAGTCAGCCAAAGCTCCTTACTGTGACTGTTTGTTGTTAAACTAGACCATTTTCTATGCTCAAAGAAAAACCTTCAGTAAACAAACAGAAGATAAATGTTTTAGACTGAGTTTCAGCCAGGCCTGTCATCCTAGATGTCTGAGAGCCTGATGCAGGAAAATCTCAAGTTCAAAGCCTATGATGATTTCAGAGTGAGTTCAAGGCCAG